AAACATTGTTGGCTCTATGTTTAAAATGTGTCCTCTTCAAGGTTCTGAAAGACTTTGTACAGTAAACATTTGAAACCTTCCTTTTCAAACCAAACTAAGGGAGAGAGGGTCTTAATAATTACTTCAAAATGCATGACAATTTAGATAAGATGGTCTTAATGTTTGATCTTACCTAGAGGGACATACCTTTCCTTATGGTCATAATCTTATCTTTCTTTTTTTTATTTTTATTTATTCTAAAGGTTTATTTTTATTTTATTTATCTGAAAGAATTACAAAGAGAGAGAAGTCTCCCATCTGCTGGTTCACTCTGCAAATGGCCACATGAGCAAAACTATTCCAAAGCCAGGAGCCAGGAGCTTCTTCCTAGTTCTCCCGCATGAATTCAGGGGCCCAAGGAATTGTGCCATCCTCTGCTGTTTTCCCAGGTGCATTAGCAGGGAGCTGGATCAAAAGTGAAGCATCTGGGACTTGAACTGGCATCCATATGGTGAGCCAGCACTGCATGCTGGGGCTTTAACCTGCTGTGCCACAGTACCAGCCCTGAAAAACACTGTGATAACATGCCTGTGACTACAGATTTATAGCTCTGGCCACCAAAGATTAGGGATGGGATTGAGCACCCCCTTGGCTGACCTTCCCAAAGGCTGCCTCTGTAGTCCACTTTAACAGAGATTAGGAGGAAGAGGAGTTATTTAGGCAGCCAATGTACAGGAGCAATGTAAGGATAGATGGCAGGCCAATTAATGGCTGCCTTTCATAGGAATCTTCCACCAAGGAGACCAACAAAGCCAGTCTACTTCAAATGGCACTGATTGGCAATATGAGCAATCTGGGCATTGGGCAAGCAGCAGTCATGCTAGAAGATGGCTCCTGAAGGGGTCTGACAACTCTACCAAGAGTGACACTACTGGAAATGGAACTGCCCTGGAGGTTGAAGGACTCCTACCTGGGTCAGAGCTGCAGACCCTGTTGGCCCTCCCTAAACTGAAAAAGCCCTTCACTGTTCCCAACTTCCAAAGTAACCAGCATGGTTGAAGGGATGACCTAGGATCAGTAACATTGCAGGCAGAGCTCTAAATTTCTTTCAGAGATGTCACCTATTAAAACTAATATAGCCGGTGCCTTGGCTCAATAGGCTAATCCTCCACCTTGTGGCGCCGGCACACCGGTCGGGGTGCCGGATTCTGTCCCAGTTGCCCCTCTTCCAGGCCAGCTCTCTGCTGTGGCCAGGGGGTGCAGTGGAGGATGGCCCAAGTGCTTGGACCCTGCACCCCATGGGAGACCAGGAGAAGCACCTGGCTCCTGGCTTTGGATCAGCGTGGTGCGCTGGCCACAGCACGCTGGCTGCGGCAGCCATTGGAGAGTGAACCAACGGCAAAGGAAGACATTTCTCTCTGTCTCTCTCTCACTGTCCACTCTGCCTGTCAAAAAAAAAAAAAAAAAACTAATCTATTCAGACCAGCTCTCCTCCCAGGCCAGGTAGGTAATGAGGGTCCCCAGGACTAGAAGCAGGCCAGACTATCCCACAGCTCCTTGACTGCACATACACACTAAACAAAAGAGGAGCACTCAGGCGTACATCTGTCTTCACATTAACTGGCAGGACTCTTTTGCTCTCCTATATCCCTCTTTGTTCTCCTCATTTTGGCCATCTTTCCCACCATGGGCAATGTTTCTAATTTCTCCTTTTATCCTCATAGTCATAATGCTTCCATTATTACCATGTATAATTAACATATTTCAAAAGTCTTTACAGGAGCATATGACTACTAAATCCCCAGCAATTATGCAGGAAAAACCCAAGACTGCTATTCAATCAATCCACTCCAGAGTACAGATACTCACTCCATGTCAATGGTTCATATCAGCAAGAATTAGCCAGAAAGAAACTGGCACCCCATGTCCTTATCTATACTCAGAATTGGGACTGATGGAACAAGGACATAAGCCTCAGTCATTTCAGGTTCTTGTTACCCCTTCTGTTTTCTTTCTTTCTTTTTCTGTCTTCCTCCCTTCCTTCCTCCCTCCCTCCCTCCCTCCCTTCCATTCATTCATTCATTCATTCATTTCAGATTTTTCTGTTTCCTTCCTTCCTTCCTTCCTTTCTTCCTTTGTCCCTTTCAAGATTTAATTTGAAAGAGTTACACAGAGAGAGAAGGAGTGGCAGAGAGAGAGAAAGAGGTCTTCCATTTGCTGCTTCACTCCTCAAATGTCTGCAATGGCCAGAGCTGAGCTGATCTGAAGCCAGGAGCCAGGAATTTCCTCTGGGTTTCCCCATGGGTACAGGGGCCCAAGGACCTGGGCCATCTTCTGCTTTCCCAGGCCATAGCAGAGAACTGGATCAGAAGTGGAGCAGCTGAGTCTCAAACCAGTGCCCATATGGGGTGCTGGCACTGCAGGCAGTGGCTTTACTCGCTATGCCACAGTGCCAGCCCCTGTATTTTATAAGAAGGTATTTCAAAAGGTTCATGGACAATACACATTATCATTCAATTTTATAACCATGAAATTTTGATTGCTTTTATATAAAGCATTGTTAAAGAACTAAAAATCATTAGGATTATAGAATGTATGTAAATTCCACAGAAGAGAAAAATCTACCCAATCTGGACCTCCGTATCTGTTCAAGCTGATGTACTAAGACTTTTAAATTGGTATAATGATTGAAAATGTTAGAGATTCCCAAAGCAAATGTACCTAGTTTTAATCTATTTGATTGTAAGTAAAATATGCAACTTTTTTTTTATTATTTTTAAAATAAAATTGAGGCCCAACACTGTGAAAATAGTGGGTAAAGCCAGCGACTATGGTGCTGGCATCCCATATGGCCACCAGTTCAAGTCCCAGATGGTCCAAGTATTTGGGGTCCTGCACCTATGTGGGCAGCCCAGAAGGAACTCCTGGCTTCTGGATTTGGATCAGCCCAGCCCTGGCCATTGTGTTCATTTGGGATGTGAACCAACAAATGGAACGAACGTCTCTCTTTCTCTCTCTATCTCTCTCTCCCTTTCTCTATATTTCTCTATATCTCTATCTCTATAGCTATCTCTATAATTCTTTCAAATAAATTTTAAAAATCTCTATCAAAATGGGTTTAAATATTTTCAGCTATTTCCTACAATACAGAAGAATAAAGGACCTTTGAAGAAACATTAAAGAATTCATTTTAACATTGGATAAAATCAACTATTTTTCTCTTTTTAAAGATATATTGCACTCATTTGAAAGGCAGATTTGTAAGGATGGAGAAACAGAGTCAGACTTTCCATCTGCTGCTTCACTCCCCAGATGGCTGCAATGGCCAGAGCTGGGTAAAACCAAAGCCAGGAGAAAGAAGCTTCATCCTGGCCTTCCATGTGGATGGCAGAGCCCAATCATGTGGGTCATTTCAGCTGCTTTCCCAGGCCATTGGCTGGGAGCTGGATAGGAAGTGGAGCATCAGGACCTGAACAGGTACCCATATGAGATGCCAGCCTTGCAGATAGGACATAACCTCCTCAGCCACATTGATGAGCTCCTAAAATCACCTATTTCTAAAGAGTTTATTTTCATTTATATTCTTTTTATAAAAGACTTATTTGTTTATTTGAAAGTCAAAGTTACAGAGAAGAGAGAAAGACAGATCTTCCATCATCTGGTTCATTCCCCAAATGGCTACAAAGACAGGGGTTGGGTTAGGTCAAAGCCAGGAACTTCTGCCAGGCCTGCCACATGGATGAAGGAGCCCAAGCACTTGGCCAATTCTCTGATGTTTCCTCAGGCCATCATCAAGGAGCTGTAGCAGAAGTGTAGCAGCCAGAACTTGAACTGGCACCCATATAGGATTTCATTCTCACAAATGGTGGCTTAAATGCTAGCCCCTCCTTATATTCTTTATAAAATTACTTTTAAAAGTCTCCTTCTAAATAAACAAAAGATATCTCTATTATTTACCAACATTATTGTGCAATTTATTAATTGTCTCTATTTACAAGTCAGGCTAACACCAGGATTTGTTAGAAGACCCAAATGGGGGCAGTGCTATGGTGCAGTGGGTTAAAGCCCTAGCCTGCAGCACCAGCATCCTTTATGGGCACCAGTTCAAGTCTTGCCTGCTCCTCTTCTGATCCAGCTCTCTGCTATGGCCTGGGAAAGCAGTGGAAGATGACCCAGGTCTTTGGGCCCCTAACCTACATGGGACACCTGGAAGAAGCTCCTGGCTCTTGGCTTGGATCAGTTCAGCTCTGGCCATTGCAGTCACTGGGGAGAGAACCAGTGGAATGGAAGACATCTTCTCTCTTTCTTTCTCTCTCTTGCTCTGGCTCTGGCTCTGGCTCTGGCTCTCTCTGTAACTCTGTCTTTCAGGTAAATAAAACATATCTTTAAACAAAGAAACTTAAATGAGCCCTACCCCTTGGGCATAAACTCAGCTAAATCTACAGTGTCTGTCATCTGTCCATAGTAAAACTCAAGTCTGGTACATATCTCTCTTCAGCTAGACATTACTGTGTCCTTCCTTTAAGAATCAAGAACAGGGGCCGGCATTTGGTGCAGATTAAGCAGCTGCTCACAATGCTGGCATCCCAGATGAACTCAGGTTCCAGCCCCAGTTCTGATCCACTTCACTACTAATGTGTGTAGGAAAGCAGCAGAACATTGCTGAAATACTTCGGCACTTCCCACCTATATGGAAGAACCGTTGGAGTTCCATGCTCCTGGTTTTTGCCTGGCCCAGTCCCAGCAATGGTAGTCATTTGGGGAGCAGGTGGAAGATCTCTCTCTCTCTCATAAATAAATATTTTAATAGAGTCCAGAACAGACTATAAATTGCTACTACACTACATTTGTCACTATGATGTGCTGAATAAAAAATAATTAATGTATATTATCATGTACTTATTTGGATGATTGATTACTGGTAATTAGTCTTTAGTTTTAAAGAAAAAATTTCAAGTGACAGTATTTATCAATAGGAAAAAGTTGAAACAAAGCACTCTCTCTTTTTTTTTTTTCTACAGGCACAGTGGACAGTGAGAGACAGAGAGAGAAAGGTCTTCCTTTTCCATTGGTTCAACCCCCAGTGGCCACTGCACCCGCAACCGGGACAGAATCCAGTGCTCCATCCAGGACTACAACCTGGTGTGCCGGCGCCGCAGATGGAGGATTAGCCTATTGAGCCACGGCGCTGGCCAAATCACTCTCTTAATCTCACAAAGTCATGTGGCTAGGAGAAGGCATATCTGATTTTTTCTAATCAGCCTTCCTAAAAATTACAAATTTTTTTCTGGCAACAGTGAATTTGGCTCATCATAGAAAGTTCTGCATGATACTGCAAGAGGTAAATTTTTGATTTATAGGAAATTTGAAAACCAATTATGCTTAATCTCTAATTTCTGATTTACTTATAGAACAGAAATTACACAGATAAATGTTACTTTGTCTAATTTTTAAAAATATTTACTTCTTTATTTGACAAGCAGTCATAGATAGACAAGGGGAAAGACCAAGAGAGAGGTCTTCAATTTGCTAATTCACTCCCCAAATGGACACAATGGCCAGAGCTGGACCAACTCAAAGCCAGGAGCCATGAGCTTCTTCCCACATGGGTGCAGGGGTCCAAGCACTTGCACTGTCTTCTACTGCTTTCCCAGGTCATTAGCACAGAGCTGGATTGGAAGTGGAGCAGCCGAGACATGAACCAGCACCTGTATGGGATACCAGTGCCACAGGCAGAGGCTTAATGATTATGGCACAGCACCAGCCCCCACTTTATCTAAATTTTGGTAAACCCATGAGTTGCACCACAATGCTATTTTCTTTTCTTTCCTTTTTTCCTTCCTTCCTTCCTTCTTTCCTTCCTTCCTTCTTTCCTTCCTTCCTTTCTTCCTTCCTTTTCTCCTTCCTTCCTTCCTTCCTTCCTTCCTTCCTTCCTTCCTTCCTTCCTTCCTTTCTTTTCTTCTTTCTTTCTTCCTTTCTTATTTTTCTGTGTCATGAAGCTTGCACATTGCATCCAAGGACATGGACCAGGGAGAGAGGCTTATGATTACTCTGTGCAAGAACTCTCCTCTTGGGGGTCAAAGCATCTGACAAGGAAGCTCTCCTAGATTAAGTCCTCAAGCACCTCTCTCAATAACAAGTGAGAGAAGGTGTGCTAACTGGAGAGCATCTTTGGTTTAATTAACTCTGGGAGGTCTGAGTGTTACTGGGGTCCTCATTGGGCTATAATAATGGGTCATGAATCATTTGAATGTGACTATTCACCACTAGAGGGCTCTGTAGGGTCAATTACATTTTCACAATCATTGACACGATTCCCCACTGGTGTCTCCAGCTGCTCTTTTGGGGAAGAAAGTCTGCTCCACTTGCAGGATACTTAAGTCCAGCACTGGAGGAAGCATAACTGAAAGAGCCCACAGCTGAGATAAAGGCATAAAGACACTTGCTTCCATGTGAGAATGACTAAGAATACTGTCTTGGTTGGGTTGGGTAAAAATCACCATGAAGAGGATCAGGGACCTCTGCATCTCCAAGTGTTTTTCTACCTCCCAGCTGTGAACCCAGAATAGTGCATCCATTGATTAAACAATGATTCCATACTTCCATGTGGTGCTTCTCTGCTTAACATTGCCTGCTGAATTCTTGTTCCCATATATTTTTACCCAGCATGATTAATTTTCTCACTTCTGCCTGACAATACTCAATAATTTACACACTGTGCTCTACATTTGCACACACTGCCAGCACTTTCACTTGATGTGCATTATAAACCTGATAAATTGCCCTAATGATTTTTATTATTCCATCATTGTAAAAATCCCAGTTTCATGTTCTTTAGTAAGTTTGGCATAATACTGAAAGTTGGATGTTTGCCATTGAAGACACTGTATTTTTGCTCACTGGTATTACCTAGATTAGGAGTAGTGATATCCTCTGTTATACCTTCAATTTGAACTAAATTCTAAAACATGAATAAAATTGCTGATAATGGAGATGAGGTTAAAGAGATAGAAGACAAAATTGGGCACTCTGATGGTGTGAGTGAGCTGTTTATTGGTGATCTGTTTCTTATATTAAACCTGCTGCTGTGGGTTTGCCAAGTTATGCACCACTCAATAGCCTTCTTCATGAATCTTTAAGAATTCTGTCCCAAATCTCGTCCCTTAATTTCACTTTCACAGTTACAGAAAATGAAATTTTGAAAAAGCTGCTGATTATGGATTTCAATTATTTGCAGAAAATCTGTCTTGCTAATGTGTGAATCAGTGATGCTAAAAGATTCCTCTTATCTCTCCCAGCAAGAATCTTTCATTGCCCACACTGCTGCTTGTGCTGTAGAAACTTAGAGTGCTGAAGGTATAGTCCAAAATGGCGGCTATCATGATGAAATTATTTTAATATGCATTTTAAATAATCACCATATTTTTGTGTTGCTATTGACTAACTCACAGTATCATGTTATCCTTTGTTCAGCTGAGCTATACTGCAATCTTCTTTATGGACATGATCATGATTAGCATTCATTACATATCTCATCTGAGTTAGGCAAGTATCAAGGAATGAGGTTGTGTTGGTAAATAATTTAGTTATACTGTGTGTTCTGTGGAATTTAAAGTTTAAAAGAGATAATTTATCATAACCACCTCAAAGGTCCTTTGGTACATCTTTCTGAATCACTTAGAGATGAGAACTCCTTGGAAAGAAGAAATGAAGTAGCTGACACATGGAGCTACTACCTGTAATGCCAGCATCTCATGTGAGCACTGGTTTGAGTCCCAGCTGCTCCATTATGATCCATCTCCCTGTTACTGCATCTTTTTTGGGGAATGAACCAGCAGAAGAAGATCTCTACCTCCACTGCAGCCTTCTCTCTCTGTATCTCTGCCTTTCAAATACTGTAAATCTTATTTTAAAAGAACTTAGGGTCCAGCACTGTGGTGTAGTGGGCTAAGCCTCTGCCTGTGGTGCCAGTTTGAGTTCCAGCTGTTCTTCTTCCAATCCAGCTCTCTGATTTGGCCTGGAAAAGCAGTAGAAGATGGCCCAAATGCTTGGGATCCTGCACCCATGTGGGAGAGAAGAGTGAAGCTCCAGGCTTCTGGCCCCTGCTGCAGATCAACCCAACTCAGTCTGTTGTGTCTACTGAGAAGTAAACCAGTGGATAGAAGATTTTTCTCTGTCTCTCCCTTTGTCTGTAACTGTACCTCTCAAATAAAACAATAATTTTTTTTATTAAAAACAGAGTTTATCCTCACATTTGGAACTTCTAGTAATTTTGATGGGTTGAGAGGAAATTTGTAAAGTCTGTGATACAACTGAGAGCCTTCCAAGTCCTAGCATGTAAGAAGAGAATAGCGAGCAGACAGCTGGTAGACAAGACCTGACAGGGTACAATCCATACATAGCATTGTCTTTCTGAAGACCATAGTAAGTCCTATGGTCCCTGTTCAAAGGTCATGGGAAACCATCCACACAGTTGAAAGAGGAGTGTGACTTGATGAGATTTTGGTTTGTAAAATGGCCTTAGTACTTAAGAACATCTCCAGAGAAAACATAGAAGAGTACTGCTGGATGGTAAATCTTCATTAATAGTAACAAGACTTGATGAAAGAAATGGCACCTTTAAGGGAAATGTAATTCAGGGAAGGGAGATAAGAATTAGTGAATCTTTTCTCCTAGGATGGTATTTACACCAACTGTAGATATTGGGGCCCTAATTTGGTGTGTTGAAGAAGATTCCTCTAGGATCTGGAATAACTTGAGCATCAGAACACATAATTTCAGACTATAATGCCTTTAACAAGATAAGAATCTATGAACTCATAATGATATAGTACATAATGACACACTAACTAGGACAGAAGAGTGAGCCCTTAGCTTTGATGCTAGATCAAAGTATAAACGGAGAAACAATATTGGGAATTAAAACACCAGCATTTCATATAGTATTGATGATTAAAAATACTATTAAAGGTAGTGGATGAAAATTTGATAGGAAGTAGGATACTGGCATAATATTGGAATAATTTTTAATAAAATCCACACATTCCAAAAAGGAATAAAAATGTGTATATAGCACAGCATATATGAATGCGGTGGTGAAGCAAGGTTTGCCACTGCCTGCCACACCAGCATTCCACATCAGAGTGCTATGGTGCTGCCTCAATTTCCAGCTTCCCTGCTTTTGATCAAGCACAATGTGAATGCACCTGGGAAGGCTTCAGAACATGGCCCAAGTCCTTGGGCCCTGCCACCCATGTGGAAGACTGGGAAATAGTCATTCATCCTAGCTTCAGCTTGACAAAGAACTTAACATTGCAACTCTGGAAATGAACCAGCAGAGACAGAGAGAGAGAGAGAGAGAGAGAGAGAGAGAGAGAGAGAGAGAGAGATCCAGCTTTTTGCTATGGCCTGGGAAAGCAGTAGAAGATGGCCCAAGTGCTTGGACCTCTGCACCTGCATGGGAGACCCAGATCTGGCTGTTGCAGCCAATTGGTGAGTTAACCAGTAGATGGGAGACCTGTCTCTCTCTCTCACTGCCTCTCTTTCTCTCAAATAAATAAATAAATCCTTTTAAAAGATATAGATGTAGACATAGACATAGATATAGATATAAATATAGATATAGATCACTCATTGTAATTCTGCATTCAAAATGGATAAATAAATCCTTAAAAGGTTGCATGTGAATCAATCTGGCGGAAATTCACTAAGTACCAAGTTGATAGCATCCATCATAGCACAGATGGGAGACTGAGCAGAGCCCAGCATCGAACCATGGTGCTTCTGAAGAGAATACAGGGCCCACATTTTCTCAGAAAGGAACACTGGAGGGTCCCAGCTTGGATCATCTCTGCTCTTGATATCTATTAAGAGTTTTCATATTAGGATTTTATATTAGAATTCCATAAAAATAACATTGAATCACAGTGGGAGAAATGATATTTTAACACGGTTGGAAAAAGATGTGATAGTTCTGTGGATTGGGTTGTGTTGGATTAATGTTGGTTTCTTAAATTGGGGTTCATATGCTATTTATCAGGGGACCACCCTATAGTTAGCAGAAACATCTTGGGTCAGGGGCAAAAGTGCTAAAAGTTTACTAACTGGCCATTCTCAATGAATGGGACTCACTCATGGTATTTCTGTAAGTTTGAAATAATTTCAAAATTAACTACTCTTAAAATGACCAAATTGTAAGATGACAATATCCACATCCTGTTAGTAAAACAGGGACAAAATCAAATACTATAAAGGCTAAACCTTACCCAATTCCCATTAGGCCAAAGTTATAAAACTGGACCCCCTCTAAGCATCTACATGCCTGTATGGAGACTGCAGAAATAATACAATAATATTCACAATGTGTTTCCTTTTCTGAATACATTTGTGATAGTTTTGAAACAGCTTGATCTTTTTTTTTTTTAAATGAGGATTTTTATTTATTTATTTTTTTATTTTTATTTTTTTTTTGACAGGCAGAGTGGACAGTGAGAGAGGGAGACAGAGAGAGAAAGGTCTTCCTTTGCCATTGGTTCACCCTCCAATGGCCACCGCTGCAGCCAGCGCACCGCACTGATCCGATGGCAGGAGCCAGGAGCCAGGTGCTTTTCCTGGTCTCCCATGGGGTGCAGGGCCCAAGCACCTGGGCCATCCTCCACTGCACTCCCTGGCCATAGCAGAGAGCTGGCCTGGAAGAGGGGCACCCCCTCTAAGCATCTACATGCCTGTATGGAGACTGCAGAAATAATACAATAATATTCACAATGTGTTTCCTGTTCTGAATACATTTGTGATAGTTTTGAAACAGCTTGATCTTTTTATTTTAAAGATTTTGAAAACTCTCTTGATCTTTAGAAATAATTATTTTATTTTTGTACTGAAAAGAAAATATGTGGATATGTCTCAAATCTGTTGGTTCACTCCCCAACTTTATGCCACAGCTGGGGCAGGACCAAGCCCAAGCCAGCAACCTGAAACACAATCCGGGTCTCTACAAGGGTGGCACGGACTCAACTCCTTTAACCCTCATCACCGTCTCTCAGAATGCACACCAACATGAAGCTGGAATCAGAAGCAGAACTCGGACTTTTCCCAGGCTCTCTGACATGGGATGCAGGCATCCCAAGCAGTGGTCACACCACTATGTCAAATGGCCACTCCTTCATTTTTAATTTAGTTTTGATTTGGGAATCAGAGAGACTGAGAAAGACAAGCAGCAGAAATCACTCATCTGTTGGCTTACTACACAATGCCCACCACATCAGGACTGAATTAGATGAAAGACAGGAGCCAGGAGCTTCATCCAGGTCTTCCATATGGTTGACAGAAATGGTTGGGCCATTATCCACTGCTTTCTCCACAGACTAGCAAAAATCTAGAATGGAAGAGGAGTTGACAGGACTCAAAGCTGCACTCCAGTATGAGATTCCAATGTCAGAAGAGCAGCTTAACCTATTGAATCACATGTTAGTCCCTGCATCAATTCAAACCAGTGCACTCACCCTACCCTGTATATATTCAAAGAATGCAAAGCTGGATATCCCCTCCCTTTCCTTATTATTATTATATTAGTTCCTCAGCAGAACCATTGTTCAGTTTAAACTGAGAGAACAGAGCAGCTCTGATTAGTACAGTGATATGCTTTTTGGGTTTTTGGACACTTTTTTAAAGATTTATTTATGTATTTATTTGAAAGTCAGAGTTACACAGAGAGAGGAGAGATGAGAGAGAAAGAGTTCTTCCATCCACTGGTTGACTCCTCAAATGGCTGCAATGGCCAGCGCTGTACCAATCTGAAGCCAGGATCCAGGAGCTTCTTCTGGGTCTCCCACACAGGTTCAGGGGCCCAAGGACTTGGGCCATCTTCTTACTGCCATAGCAGGCCATAGTAGAGAGCTGATTTCTATGCCACAGGTCCAGACCCTGGACACTTTTTTGAAGGTTGAGTAACTGATTTTGGCAATGACAGAAAGTTTCTTTTACAATGACTTTGATGGGGCTGGTGCTGTAGCATAGCAGTTAAAGTTGCTGCCTGGAATGCCAGCATCCCATAAGGGTGCTGGTTCAAGTGTCAGCTGCCCAACTGCCAATCCAGCACTCTGCTATGGCCTGGGAAAGCAGTAGAGGATGGCCCAAGTCCTTGGGTCCCTGCACCCACTTGGGAGACTCAGAAAAAGCTCCTGGCTCCTGGATTTGGATCAGCACAGCTGCAGCCATTGCAGCCCTCTAGGGAGTGAACCAGCCAATGGAAGCCCTCTCCCCCTCTCTCTCTGCCACTGCCTCTCTGTAACTCTGCCTTTCAAGTAAATAAATAAATCTTTTTAAAAAAGTGAAAGAAAAAGAAATAATAAAATGTCCTTGCTTCCCACAGCTAAAGTATTTTATGTTATCAGGATGTTTAAGGGCAGCAGCCAGTAAATTAGTTTTGTAAAGCTCAGTCTGTACTGTTTGAAGAAATTTATTCATTTCTGCCATCGTAGTTTCAGGTTTTGGAGACAACAGCTTTTAAAACATTTTTTAATCCTGATTTGCATTTTCATAAGCCAGTTGTTGTAGTAATATTTTGCCAATTCCTGATTATCTACCTGATGTCCAATAGCTTTTTCTAGCCTATCCACAAAGGACATATAGCCCTCAGTCAGCCCCTGATGGACTAAAGAAAAGGAAGTGGACAGGTCTTTAACATCAAGAATCTTTTTCCATACTTTTAATTAATGTTAGAAATTTTTACATAAGCCTTCGTCAAAGGATAAGCAACTTGTTGACCAAGATCCAAATACACTTCTTCTCTCAGCAACTGCTCAAAAGTGGTAGGGACATTGTTATTTAGTTAATCTATGGCTTGTACAGAGGCCCAGTCTCTATTCCTGAGCCCAAACAGTGTACTGGGCTGGAGTAACCAAGATTTTAATTAAAGTTTTCCAGTTCCATGGCACCATCTGACATCCTTCTCCAATTCCCTCCAGTATGCCCACTGTACAAGAACTCTGTATCTTGTACTCCATTAAGCCCTTTTTTAGCCCTCTGTAAACATTATAAGGAAGATGTTCATGCCAGGGAGCTGCATTTTCGGGTCAAACTACAGGACAAACAGTTAACACTGGTGATTTCCCTTGCTCCTTGGCTTGCGGAAGCGTACCTAGCACCACTGACACACCTGAAGGGGACTCAGATATCACCACCACAACAGCAGATGCTGAGAGTGCAGAGGTCTCTGTGAGGCAGTGGGGACAAGCCCATTGCAGAGGTCTCTGTGAGGCAGTGGGGACAAGCCCATTGACCGACCTTCCTGGCCGGGGACAGTGGCCAAGGGAATTGTAACCTTGCTAATGGCATCCCAGCAGAGATATCACACGTGCAAAAACAGAATAGGAGCTCAAGGCTCCTGATGTTATTTTTGACCAACTTTCTCTCAATCAGTTACTTTTTTTTAGATACATTTATTTATTTCAAAGTTAGAGTTACACAGAGAGCGGAGAGGTGAGAAAGAGAAAAAGGTCTTCCATCCACTGGTTGACGCCTCAAATGGCTGCAATGGCCAGTGCTGTACCAATCTCAAGCCAGGAGCTAGGAACTTCTTCCTTGTCTCCCACATGGGTGCAAGGGCCCAAGGACTTGGGTCATCTTTTTACTGCCATAGCAGGCCATAGCAGAGAGCTGGATCAGAAGTGGAGCAACCAGGACTTCAACCAGTGCCCATACAAGATGCTAGCACTGCAGGTGGTGGCTTTTACCCATTAGACCACAGTGCTGACCCAACAATCAGTTATTTTTAAAGTGCCTTCATCAGGGTTCCAAGGATAGCAACTATTAATTTTTTACAGCAAGCATCCAATTACTTTTTGGTAAAGAGGGTCCCTCTTCGGGCCAGCACCATGGCTCACTTGGCTAATCCTCTGCCTGCAGCAGTGGCATCCAATATGAGCACCAGGAGCTAGTCCCAGTTGCTCCTCTTCCAGTCCAGCTCTCTGCTGTGGCCAGGGAAGGCAGTGGAGGATGGCCCAAGTGCTTGGGCCCCTGCACCCACATGGGAGACCAAGAGGAAGCACCTGGCTCTTGGCTATGGATCAGTGCAGCACCAGCCATAATGGCCATCTGGGGAGTGAACCAATGGAAGGAAGACCTCTCTCTCTCTCTCTCTGTCTATAACTCTACCTGTGAAATAAAAAAAAAAGTGTCTCTCTTTCTAAAGGAGATAAAGCAGCCCAACTTTATGTTTCCATTACACCAGGTATGGAATTCCCCATCTTATGACTCACCAGGATCTTGAAGAGATGAGTGTGCAAGTGAAAGGAGAGACAGGAGAGACAGGACATGGAAACTGTTCCTCTGCAAAGTGCTGCCAGACTAACCCGGTGTGTTTTCTTTATTGTTTCTTGATAATGATTACAACAGTATATTGTACATCTCATGCATGTGCTCATCTAACTCCAAGGTTTCTCTGGAA